ACCTTCATCTACATGTACCAATACTACATTCCGTGTCCTCATCAACACTACATTATGTGTACCAATAATAAAAAATCACTATTGTTAACAGTAATTGTGGCTTTCTCCTTAATCTCAGTAAAAGTATTTGTACGGATTCAAACTCTTCCTGTACCAATACTACATTTTGTGTCCTCATCAACAAATAAAACCCAACCCCAAGAACTTGCTACTTTCTGGAACGCTTTATGGGACCAAGCCACAAGTGGTAAACCTTGAATTTCAATCCATACCAATCGATCATGAATGACAAAGGAATCATCAACTTGTTTGAAAGCTTTGAAAATCCTCTTGAAAGGTTTATGTTCTTGAAACTTTTGGCATCTTTTCCTTGAAGGGAATTCAATACAAACCCAGAACCCACTAATATAATTAATTTCAATCCCTTGATGAACTTCCTCCTTACAAATTACATGAGATTCGCAATGGATACAACCTCTCTAACTTCTGCTAAGACCACACAACTTGAATCTGGAATCTTAACCAGCTCCTCATCAGATAACATAATGCATTTTTTCACACCATTATAGACATCCCGTTTTGATTTAAGATGTTTACCAGACACAATATTTGCATAAGACAATCTAGGGATGAGAAATTGGGCCGAAAACCCGAACCGAACCGAGAACCGAACCGAATTAGACCCGAATAAGCAATTCGATTCGGTTTTCGGGTATCTATATAAGGCTTATTCGGTTTTCTGGTTATTCGGTCCGGGTTACCCGAATAAGGGGTTATTCGGTCCAAAAAACCGAACCGAATATGAAGAGTCTTTTTTTCCCTTGCGGCCTTGCGTGATTCGATTTAGTGTTTAATTTGTTTCTTTAAAAAGTTTGTTATGAAATCATAAGCTACAAAAGTCATAAAAAATACAATATTTATTCGGGTTATTCCGGTTATTCGACTCCTTAATCATCTTGTACATGTTATTTGGGTTATATACTTATAGATAGATTTTTGGGTGTTTTGGATGTTTAATATTTAGTGTTTAATTTGTTTCTTTAAAAGATTTGTTATGAAATCATAAGCTACAAAAATAATGCAAAATATTCGGGTTATTCGACTACAAAATCATTTTGTACATATTATTCGGGTTATTTAGGTTATATACTTATGAAATCATAAGCTTCAAAAGTAATACAAAATATTCGGGTTATTCGGGTTATTCGACTACAAGTGTTATTTGGGTTATTCGACTACAAAATATCCGGGTTATTCGGGTTATTCGACTCTTTAATCATCTTGCACATGTTATTTGGGTTATTCGGGCCGGAACCGAACCGAACCGAATAATACCCGAACCGAACCGAACCCGTATTGCTTATTTGGTTCGGTTTTCGGTTCATACAATTTGCTTTATTTGGTTTTCGGTTTATTCGGTTCGGTTCGGTTCGGTCCGGTTCCGACCCGAATAACATCCCTAAGACAATCCCTCCTTTGACTTGCTACCCCATGTATCCATCTTATTCATAGGAATTGAATTTGGTTTACTTACCTGCACAGGTTTCCCGAATTCTTTCTTTCCAAAACATGCTATAGAAGCAAAGATGTGATAATTCCCCAAACAGACCTCACACAAGTGATTTGCCAATTCCTGAACATCTGAAACTTTCAAGAAACGAACAAATCCAAACCGGCGCCCCAATTTTGATAATTCCGAGCAATGTAGATATTAGCAACAACCCCAAATTCAGCACACAACTTACGTAAATCCTGAATTTCCATAGAAGGAGGGAAATTGGTAATGTAATAGGACACATCAATGTGATCAACTGAATTTCGAGCAAGGCGTCGTTTGTTTTCCTCGATTTTGATCAAGATTAACTTATTTCCCAAATCTCCAGTCCCATTTAGCTTCAACCATTGCAAACGACGACAAAATATATTGCGAGAACGTTAAAGTATAAATAAAAAAATAGCTGCGATGTCGGTGTGTGATCCTGCCGAAAGAACTCCGAAATCGCCGGACGTAAGAACGTAGGGTTTTTACAAACAATGTAAATGGCTGGTCGATTATGCCCCTTATTGGAATCATGGAAGCTGATGGTGTGGTTCGTTGAATGTTTCTAATTGCTCAACCCAAATATTTTTGGATCTCTGATATTTGTGTCGGAGATTGCATAGTGAAGAACTAATGTTTGATGCTATATCTTTCCTCGTTTCTCTCTATGGATCATGCATTTGCTGCAGTAATGAGGTGGAATGTAATTACCCTTCATGGCTAACCGATGTTGATGATTGAGTCTTTGAAGTATTGGACTATCGAATTTTGCTGGTTTTCCCTCGCCTTTCGTTTACATTTGCTCTTATGTTATGTAAAACACATCTTCTCCATTCTTGCTTTAGTTTAGTTTCTGCAATTTTGTTTGTGTTTTTTTTCTGTTCCTTTTGTTTCTGTTTTCCTGTACTATTTGGTTGTCAGCTCCCTGCTGGTCACTCTGTAATAAATTTCGTTGTTCAAAAAAAAATTATTATGGCTATATAATTTCAAATACTTTGGATTGATACACTCCTAAATCATTTGATAAAGATTATATTATTCTTGAGATTTATATACTATTGAATCCTCTTCCAATCCCGATAGGTAAATTTTTATGTTTATATCTCAAAATATTGCTTTCAAGAGAGTAAACTATACGATTTGTCCCTCGCGCAAGTGTCAAATTGCACGTTGAGTCCTTATCTTCAAAATTTTGCTCTGAAAGTCCCTTGTTTGTTTAAATTTTGCACGCTTCATCCCTAATATCGTTGTCCAGACATACAAAGATGATTTTGCCATTATCTTTATCTTTTTTATTTATTTATTTTTATTTACTAGTTATATTTAATTAATTAAATATTTATTTGTGTATTTAAAGTAATGGACTAGTATCATAAACCCTCTTTATCTCTTTCTCTCTCTCTCTCTCTCTCTCTCTCTCTCTTCATCTAAACACCAATCAATTAGAAACCGAAGTTGTCCTCTTAGTCGCCGGAGACGGTGAATCTCGTTTTTCCGACTTAATGAGAAAAGGGAGATCAGTGAGGAAGGAGCATCATGAATCTCATTTTTCTAGCTTAGGGGTTGCAATTTCGGACAATTGATACAGTAGAGGAAGAGATGCATTTGGAGACCTCCACTCTCCAGCTAGCCAGTGAAGGAGGAGATGCATCTGGAGACCAGCACACCACTGACCACCATCTTCAACCACCTACCACCACCTCCAACCGTGGAATTCCTGAATTCAGGTCAAAGACTATGAACGGTCAAGTTCACAGTAAATCTCTTTGTAATATGATTCATTGAGTTTTAGTGCATCTTATGAACAGATGAGCTCATTTTAACTATTATAAGATACCAGATGACATCTTACTTCCAAATGTGTAAGCTGACAAACGAATCAAACAACTCAAACTGCAACCATAGTTAATGTGTTTGAAAAACTAAAATTTCATATTAAGCAGTTGTGATAAATACAAACACTCTAGTATCGTAGTACGTGTTTCCCTAATTCCAAAAATATGAAGAATATCCAAAACAGAGTTCGTATGCAACAGATACGACCGTTTTAAGAATCCAAAATCAGTATAATACTGATTTGCTTAAAACCACTAAAATTGTTTCTATCTGTTGAGGGACTTGCACACCTCAAATGGAATATTCGAAAGCATTTTTGGACTCAGGTCATAGTCTATTATTTAATTTCGTACAAGAAATATTTTTGACAGAAATATTTGAAAAAGTCGAAAAAACGGACGTTTTGGATCCAATTAAACGCGAACATTTAAACACGATTTCACGGAGTTCTACAACTCGAAAAATTAATCCGTCTGAATTTTTGGAATCCTTGTAGCCAATACTAGTATTCTTCATTTTTCAGAAAAAATATTCGATATCAAGATCAATGGCACACAAATCGAGATAATTAGAAAATAATTATAAATGTACGAAATAATTAGTTCTTAAATGGTTGGAGACCTATACATATGTTTGTATACATAAGCTATTCATGAAATAGGGATGAGCAAAAGGACTGAACCGGATAGAACCGGACCCGACCCGGGAACCAGCTTCGGCCAAAACAAGAACCAATCCGGCCTGACGGTTCTACCAGTTCACGGTTCTACCGGTTCTTGTCGTGTTTTTAAATGTTGGAACCGGTCCTCAAAAAATAGCATCATACGGTTCCGGTTTTTGCCGGCTCTACCAGTTCCGGTTATATCAGTTCCGGTTCCTACCGGTCCCCGATTCCAAAAATCCACAAATATAACGTCGCGGTCCCGGCCTGGCCGGTTCCATCGGGTTCCGGTTTCGGTGCCGATTCCGGTTCCAGTTCTGGTCAGTTCCCCAGTCAATATACTCATCCCTACATGAATTCCAAAGAATAATAGCAATCATATATAATAAATCTTGGAGTCAAAATTATTTATAAACACACATATTTTTATATATACATCAAAGTTATATAAATTAAAAACATCAATGAATAGGTATATAAAATGTGACTCTTAAGGTTATTAATACATATGCACATGTGTGAAATGTTTAAATATGTATCTAAATACAAGAATGGTCAACTCCTACACTATATAATATCATCTATACATGAACTAGTGCAATATACTAATACATACACAAATACATGTATAATATACATCTTATTATCCAAATATGTATACTTGTATGTATAACTAGTATAATACCTCCACACACACCTAAATGCACAAATAATTGGGATATTACATTGTTTCTAAATCCAAACAAATACATAAATAATTAAACCAATGCGTCAGACAAATACATGAATCATGAATGATAAAATCAATACATTGTTTGCAAAGTTAAAATCAAATACACCTCCTACATTGACATTGACAGCCAAAACAAAATAAAACTTATACACTTTACCAATCAATTGTACGACTTTGGAGTGTTCATCTAACTAAAAGAAAGCCTACAAGTTTTCCTAAACACTGTTCAATTATCCTACTGCATCGTACCAACACCAAATATGGGTTTGCTTGCTGCCATTCCCTTCCATTGATCGTTCAAGCAAAAGGAGAACAACACTCCAACACCTTTTGATCACCATCATTTCCAGCTGAAGCCAAACACCCCCCCTGAAGATTTGTTGCTATAGTTCATTCTTTTTTTATTTTCAGTCAAGAACACACCACTGAAGTGGGTGTTGTTCTTGTGCGAACACAAGAGACCAGCAACTCCTTTCACTTCTACCTTTTTCTTCGTTCCGTGTCTAGAACCACCGGAAGTGATGGCAGCTTCCGGCAAGACCACAAGGCAGCAGCCTTTCGTGGTTGCCTCTCTACCTGTGAAACATCAAACTCAAACAACCCTATCGATCACTGTCAAACATTTAAAAAAAAAAAAAAAGATGAAGCAAGAATGTTACTGGAGACCTTTTCCCTTATTCCCGTCGAGCAAAACCCACTGAAGCTCCCACCTGATTTCCTTGTTCTAACCGAACCCTATCCTGGCCTCCTTCCCATCGCAACCTCTTAGCCACACCGAATCCCATGCCTTCGCACCTCACAACCAGACAGAAGCACCACCGATCGATAATCCCTGACTCCCTTTCGGTCCTCCTCCCCTCGCTTTCTTTCTCTACTGTTCCCATCGACCACAGACCTCCGAAGGTCTCGTCTTCGATGCTACTGCTGCTTTCGACGCCCAGACTTCGCACCTCGCAGCCGAACGAGAGGAAGCACGAGCTCGCTGCTTCGTTCCTTCGTCGCTTCGGTCTAATCGACCCCGAAGACGCAACCTCAGCCTGCAATCGATCGGAATCCATCGGGCCTCGCAGCCTCCATCGTGTTCCTTCGTGACTACCTTGACCGTTCATATTCCCTTTCAAATGGCCGATTAGATCAAAGACGGGAGCATTAAAGCCTTAATTTCTTTTAAATTATTTTAAAAATGATAACATTAACCCCCATTTAACCAAAACATTAGAAATCAGTCCCAAAGCCCCCAAATATTAAACCCATTTGTTCAAATCAGCCCCTGAATATCTCGTTGATAGAATATCAATGATGAAAAGACATACAAAAACGGACGTCGGATGACAAAATTATGAATTTTGACGAACTTTTCCTGTCCCGACATGTTAAAAATATAACTTTAAAAATAAAGTCAAAATTAGTCGACGGAGTCTAAACGAAAGCTTTAGAGTACGTCTCCACCTACACATGGATATAAAGAATGTCAAAAACGGACCTCGTATGCAAAATTTATGGATTTTAGAAGTCGGAAGGGAGCTGGTGCGAAATGGGTGACATGTTCGAATCTTAGCCCTTGCTTACTCCCTATGGTCCTTGCCTCGGATGCTGATAGATGGCCTTCTTACGCCAAGCGTAACACTTTGGACGCCCTGCGTACCGAGTACGACCAATCTACACTAAAGGTACGCCCAGCGGTCTCCCAATGTGCGGTTCCGAAGCAGCCACGACCCCCCGTCTGAAGTATGACATGTGCCCCCTTACGCGCAGCGTACCACCGAGGGTACATCCAGCGTAACCGCATCTTCTGTAACGCCCGTAGATCCGGGCTAATCAATTTAGAGGCAATAGGGTTCGAAAAACGACTTTTCGACAAAAGATTATTTAGAATAAATAATCTTAACCATGTTGTAGAATATGTCTCAAGGTTTTCGTACATATAAAGAACGCCGAAATCCGAGTTATAACGAAGAAGTTAGGACCTGTTGAAGTTCCGCGACGGAACCGGCACGATACCGGGAAGCGTAAATAGTGAATTTACGATAGAGCGAGATTTAACCTTAGCGATCTAAATGAAAGTCGTAGAATATGTTAAACTAAGAACATCGATAAAAAGAACACCCAAATCTGACGTCGTGTGAAGAAGTTATGATTTTTCGAAGTTTCGGATTAGCAGTGTATAGTTCGAAATTTGAATATTAGATCGAACGGTTTTTAGCCGACACAACCTAAACGAGAATCAAAGATCTCGTTAATAGTAGCGTAACGAGAAAAAGATGGGCAAAAACGGATGTTGGATGAAGAAGTTATGAGGATTTAACTGACGAATCCTGTCCCGGCCTGTTAATAATATAAAATTTAAAATCGAGTCAAAAGTAGCCGACGGAGTCTACACGAAAGTTGTAGAGTACGTTCCCACCTTCGCGTGGATATAAAGAACGTCGAAAACGGAGCTCATACGCGAAAGTTACAAATTTTTAAAGTTGAAGCATGAAATTGCGAGATTTGATGAAGAATCAATGACGTGGCACAATCTAGACCCTCCATCGCTGGCTCGGTACCCGCTTCGGATGAGTGATACGCCACCCTCGCTATTACGCCCCACGTACGAAGAAGTTACGCCCCGCGTAACTTCGGTCTGATCCATCCGACGATGCGAGACATCTGGCTTCAGCTGGCAACCTTATCCAAGGTGTACGCCCAACGTAACCTCGGTACGCCTAGCTTAACCGAGGCTGCTGGCGCCTATAAAAGGGGTCCGAACTCCTCCGAATTTCACACACCATTTCCTTTCTCTCTCTAGGGTTTCTAAACCCACTAAGCCCTAGTTAAACCCCTTAGCCCCCGAGGGAAGCCCCGAGGCTCCCGGAGTCCCGAGAAAAAGTGTCTTTCAGTTTCGAAACGCTGCTCCAAATAAAGTTCCGGTTTTCGATAAAATTCGTTGTAAGTGAGCTACGCTTACACAATTTTTAATATAGCTTTCGAATACTTATAGGAATGTTATTAGGTCCTTAAAATAATTATTTGGGCTATTATTATGAGTTATATTTAGTGTTATTTAACGCTTATATAATAATAATAATAATAATAATAATAATAATAATAATAATAATCAGACTATTAATTTGCCGCACTTATCGTTAGACTAAACCCTAGTGGTATTGATACTTGGTTTTATCAAAGAAAAATTGTTTTGAGAGTATCGAAGCGCTGTTCGAGTACTAAGTCACCACCTTTCTAGTGAATGCATAGTCCTTTTCATCTTACACATAGATATAAAGTATTTTAAGATAGATTACGTGCTGTGTGTGCATATTGTCTGAATACTTGCTGTCTATGTTGGGTGAAAGATTTTTATACATGTTTTAAATTATTTAAACCTTATATGTATTTTATATCTACAAAATGTGTTGGGTAAAACATGGGTAGATGAAATAGTTGTTTTGTGATAACACGATGGGAGACATCAATGTTATCAGTGATCCAGTCATCTAGTGGAGTATAGATGTTGACCATGGGCGATACCAGACGGTCCGGTGGAACGCTAGTAAGCTTGTAACCCCTAGGTGTTTTTGAACTAGGTGCTCATTAGGTATTTTGAACTGCGTGTGTTCACTACCTATCTTTGAATTGAGTGTGTTCACTAGGTATTTTGAACTAAGTGTGTTCACTAGTTACTTTTGAACTAAGTGTTTACCAAATGTTTTGGACTACGTGTTCACCAGTTGTAATCTATAAGCTTTGGTAACGATGGACTTCGTGTCGATCCCTTAAGATAATCCTTAGTAATGAACGAACGAGAAATAGTTGATTCTTAGGGTAGATCCTTAAGAGTAAAGAAGATAATGGGGATGGGTAATTAGGTTTAATTGCTTGATTGTTTAAACATAATAATTATATTATTGTGGGTTGAAAACACTATGTACTCACCAGGTTTCCCAACCTGACCCACTCAGTTTAATTATATCACAGGTGTTGATATGAAGTCACATTACACTGAGAGATTAAAGAGATGTAGATCACTAGTGTAAATAAATGTAAGTTCTGTTTATGCTTATGTTTATGTATTAACAATGACATCCCAAATGTTTTAAAATGAATAAAATACATTTCTTCGAAAACGTTTTAATAACGTATTTATCGTGTTTTTCTGGGAATAAATTTCGTAACATTTTTATGAAAAGAAGTACTCTGACTTTTATAAAGCATAAACAAAATCGGTCTTTTCTGGCCGTGAAAATGGGGATGTCACAGTTGGTATCAGAGCATTAGTTTAAGCGAACTAGGAATATGGATTTATTTCTAGACTTAAACTTAGAATGCTAAGCGATGATGGTGAGGTGTGAGCACTAGCTTATTTTAGGAATTATTCCTAAATTGCTTTTATGTGGTAAATGATTTGTCATGCTATAGTTTGATCGGATCTATGGTCTGTTGCTGACCGGATCTAGAAACCTTATGTGTTAAGGAATCTAAACGTACGAATACGATATTAGAACTAGCATATAAACGTTTCAGAGTGATAAGGATGACTTAAACGTCAATCCTAAATAAAGATCTAGATTCACCTTATTCGGTGTATAGATCAAGATGGCAAGGACCCATAACGGAAACGTGAATGCAAATGAGAATAGGAACCAACCCCCAGTGGTTCAGCAAATACCTATTGTAGAAGAAGTTGCACCTGAGCCAGTCACCATGGCTGGAGTTCAAGCCATGATTCGGGCTATGTTAGCTGAACAAAGGGAAGAAATGAGGCAGATGTTGAATAGGGATTAACCTACTATGCCCATTGAGCAACCCGAACTGATTCCTGAACAATCAGAGGAAGGGAACTACAGTCGCCAAGTGAATCAAGTGGAGACTCAAGGTGAACGAAGGGATGGCCCGGAGAGGAGAAACAACAAGGATGGGCGATTGTACAAGAATTTCTTGGGTGCGAAACCACCAAGTCTCTCAGGAAGCCCAAAGCCTGTTGAGATTATGGATTGGATCTCTGAGATGGAAATGGTGTTTGAGAGCTGCGACTGTAGCGAGAAACAGAAGACCGTCTTCGCTGTAAGACAACTGAAAACTGGAGTCTTGAGCTGGTGGAAGCTATTGGCAGATACGATGCCAAGAGGAGAAGCCTTAAGGATGCCATGGGAAGAGTTCTTGGAACAGTTGAAAATGCACTACTGCTCGGAGACAGATCTGATAGACCTAAACAACGAGTTTCAGAACCTGAAGAAAGGGAAGATGAGTGTCGATGAGTACGTCACCGCATTCACCGAGAGGATGAAGCTATTTCCATACTTGGTTCCTACTGAACTCTCCAAGATTGATAGGCTTGCTAACGGATTACGCACTGACTTTGGCCCAATGGTCAAAATTGCAACTACCTTGAAAACAGCTGTTAGGGCAGCTAAGAATGTAGAGGCCCAGATAAGAGAAAAGGATCTAGAAAAAGATAAGGCAGGAGAGAAGTGGAAGTTTGAAGGATCTTCAAGGTCTAACAAGGAGAGAAAATTCTCAAAGCCTGGAGGAGGAGGTGAAGCAAGATGGTGTGATAAATGCAAGAAGAAACACTTTGGAAAATGCGGTGAAGAGGTGACATGTTTCAAGTGTGGAAAGTCTGGGCATTACACCAATGAGTGTACATCCAACAAGAGGTTGTGTTATGAATGTAAAGAAGGGGGGGCATCTTTCAAAGAATTGCCCAAAGAAGAATGAAGCAGCAAGGCCAAACACGCCACCAAGGCCAAGGGCATTCCACATGATCCTCAACGAAGCAGAAAACCATGCGAGGAAACAAGGATGAGGACTTCATATCTGAAGATCAAGTTATGTAGTACCCATAGTATCTTATGATGTAGCCTATTAGAGACATAGTCTAGGGTGAACTGGAACACATATGTAATAGTTTCAAGAAATAATAAAAACCTTCATTTTGCTATCTGATGTGTTAAACTATTATGTGATTTTCTTGTATGATGACTTGGAAAACTGCGAGACAATACTTGGGATGAGTATGAGTAGGTGTGAAAGGTAGTAGATGAATATACTACCGAAAGCACAGGACTCACGCTTGGATCAGGGAAAGTCACAAGGTTACCAAGAAGCTTGTAATTGATTTTGTTTTATT